GAAGGTTGTGGAGGAGAGCGTGGCGGTTATGAGGTTCTTTGTGGGGGGAGCTCGGGGTGTGGTCGGCTGGATTTGGGGTTTTCTTCATTAGTTTGATGTTGATTTATGATAACAATAATAATTGAAAAGAATTATGGCTTTATAGCAATCACTCCCAAGAAATTATTACTAATTTATAATAATAATAATAATAATAATAATAATAATAATAATAATAATAATAATAATCACTCCCAAGAAATTATTACTAATTTATAATAATAATAATAATAATAATAATAATAATAATAATAATAATAATAATAATAATAATAGTAATAGTAATTTCTTTGCAGTGTCAGATTTCAGTTCCAAGTTTTTGGTTTTCAAGTTTTGAAACAGACGGTCGAAGGCAGAGAGAAACAGGAATTAACGAGGAGAGGAAATTTGAATTGGAAATGAACGGTATTAAGGGTTATTTAGAATTCTGGGTCCACTATGAATTTGGATCTCGATCCTGAATATTTTGGATTAATTACAAGCTGGTACATTAAGTTATCGTGTGATTATATCGGTGACCCAGGGTCTCTGTATCTCCAAGGATAATCATGTGAATTGCTTGTTGTTCGAGAGCTCCATGGTCATTCGTGCAATCACAATTTCAATCTCAGGGTCATCCGTATAGATACACAAACTCTAGGATTACTAGTGTAATTACACGATATGACCCTAATTTCAATCTCAGGGTCATCCGTATAGATACGCAGACTTTAGGATTACTAGTGTAATTTCAATCTCAAATGTCATCCGTATAGATACGCACACTCTAGGATTACTAGTGTGCGTATAGATACTAGTGTAATTTCAATCTCAAGGTCATCCGTATAGATACGCAGACTCTAGGATTACTAGTGTAATTTCAATCTCAGGGTCATCCGTATAGATACACACACTATAGGATTACTAGTGTAATTACACGATACCTCGAAGTACTGGCATTGGCATGTAATTAATCCAAATATTTCTGTTTGCATTCAAACACTGGAAATCGATCTAAACCCAGAAACTAAAATGAAACAGAAGCATCTGAACAGCATATGAGTCAGTTTGCATCATCAATAGAAGCGTAACAAGTTCCAAATTAACCCCCAGCCATCCTTAAATGGCATAGAATCTGCACTCATTGTAGACCTACAGTTCAGTATTCACTATATATTCTCGTTTAGCTCGTGCCATTTTCTTATACCAGCGACAGCGCGGAGCGACGACTTCGATCTACATCCTATATAATTATCAATTGGCTCTCTCAGAGTAACTAATCTAACCATTAATTTGCTGTCTCATGCTTAAACAAACAAGTAAAAAAGCTAATAAACTAGCTCTCAGTAACTATCTTTGCACAGTCTCCGCCAAACGAGATCGATTAATTAGGACGAAGAAGACGACGAAAATGGCAGCAGAGGGAGAAATGATGGCACTGATCAAGGTAACAGCATGGGTAGTCGCATCAATGACCTACGCTCGCTTTGCCTCTTCCGCAACTAAACCAGGATTACTCCGGCTACTATTTCTCCTCCCAGCGATTCTCCTCCTCCCATTTCTCCCTTGGTCCTTCACCTCCAGTCTCCTTCGAGGCACCTCCGCCTTCTTCCTTGTTTGGCTCGGCATCTTCAAGCTCTTCCTCCTCTCCTTCGGCGTGGGCTCGCTCTCCCCCTCCCTCCCCCTCCCCACCTTCATCGCAATCTCTTCCCTCCCCGTCAAAATCCAAACAGCCCACAAATCCAACACGAATCTTTCCTCGATAACAAAGCTTTGCATTCCTTACTGCATCAAGCTAGCATCGCTTTCAGTGCTCATCCACATCGACCACTACAAATCCCAAATCCACCCGTGGGCAACTCTCTCCGTCTACTCCCTCTGCATCTACCTCTACTTGGACCTCGTCCTCGCCGTCTTCAAATTCCTCGTCGCCACTCTCCTCGGCCTCGCTACCGAGCCCCAATTCAAGAACCCCTTCGGATCCGATTCCCTGCAAGATTTCTGGGGCCGCCGATGGAACCTGATGGTCACCAGCATATTGCGCCCTTCGGTCTACTATCCCGTCCGGTCGCGGTTAGGCACAGACGCAGGCTTGATGGCCGCGTTCCTCGTCTCTGGGCTAATGCACGAGATCATGTTCTATTATATGACGGTTGAGAGGCCGAGTGGGGAGGTGAGCTTGTTCTTTGTGGCCCAGGGGTTGTTTACTTTGGCGGAGGTGAAGGCGAAGAAGGCTGGTCGGTGGAGGCTGATGCATCCGCCGTTGTTGAGGGGAGGAGCAGACGATAAGTGCCTGAAAGAACTTGCAGAGATGCTGAGGTTGGTGGAAGATGGAGGACCGGCTGTGATGTGGAGGTTAATAGGGCGACAAACTAATTAAGATTGTGTTTAGGAAAGGGGATTTGTACTTTAGGCGTAGATTTAAAATCATAAATTTTATAAAATCACTTGTTTGAATACCTGGCTAAATGAAAAGATTCCAATTAAATCTGTTTTTTGGATACATTTATCATACCTAAGCTCCATATATGTTAATCACTTGTTTGGATCCACCTCTTTCATACGTACACTAATTCTGACCAGAAAAGATCAGAATTAGCTAAACCTGTATCAGAGAAAATCCAAATTCAAAATAATTAGCTTGACTGTTTAACAAATAACCTTTTGCTAGAGGGCCTACTGTTAATGAAGACCAGTGTATCTTTCTGTGTAAACATGTCACCGCTAAGGAAATTAAGGATGGACTGCTTCAAATTTATGATCAAAAGGTCCCTGAACCTGATGGATTTACAGCTAAGTTCTGCAAAACTTCTCAGTCTGTGGTTGGAGAGGATATCATCAAGTGAGTACAAAAATTCTTCCTTACTGGTAATATGCTCGAAACCTTAAATGTTAGGGTTTTTTTTTTTAAATACCTTTTTTGCTAAATAATTACCTAAACAGACCGTTTTGATAATTATTTAGGAAAAACGAACTCTTTTTGGCCAACAGACCAAAAAGAAATCGGTTTTGCTAAACCGGGTGTTCGAAACATACGAGACTACTAGTCCCGTAAGTTTAGTCCCCATTAATTTCCTACTAAATCACCCCAAAATCTATGGGACTAGTAGTCCCGTAGATTCTACTAAATCTCATCCGCCCGCACAATCCACGGCAACATCTCCCAGTTAATAAACAAGAGGGGGAGTAATCAATCTTCCCCAGTAAGTTCCCGTCGCCTCCTCCCCTTTCCTTTCCTCGTCAAACAGACCATAAACCCTCTCCCTCTCTCTCAATGGGAAGTTCAAACCCTAGAAATCACAGGCGACGAGGATGCCACCTCCGACTCCGACTTCCCGCATAATCCACGGCAACATCAAATCCTCCAACATCCTCCTCCGCTCCGATCCCGACTCTGCTGCCCTCTCTGACTTCGCCCTTTACCCTCTCTTCTCCACCTCCTCCCCTCCCAGCCGCGTTGCCAGATACCGTGCCCCGAGGTCCTTGAAACCCGTTGACCGACCCTCAAGTCCGACATCTACAGCTTCAGCGTTGTGTTGCTAGAGCTATTGACTAGTAAGGCCCTGACCCTGGCCTCGTTGGGGGAGGAAGGGATCGATTTGCCGAGATGGGTGCAGTCGATGGTGAGGGAGGAGTGGACGCCGGAGGTGTTCGATGTTGAATTGATGAGGTTTCAGAATATTGAGGAGGAGATGGTGCAGTTGTTGCAGGTGGCGATGATGTTTGTGCCGAACCAGAGTCTACGGGACTACTAGTCCCGTAGATTTTGGGGTGATTTAGTAGGAGATTAATAGCGACTAAACATACGGGACTAGTAGTCCCGTATGTTTCGAACATTCGGTTTAGCAAAACCGACCTTTTTTTGACCTGTTGGCAAAAAAAATATCGTTTTTGCTAAATACTTAGTAAAACAGTCTATTTTGCTAATTATTTAGTAAAAATGTCTTTTTCAAAAACACCCTAAATATTACTACTATAACTCTTGTTCCAAAGGTTGCATGCCCAAATTATGCTTCTAAGTATAGACCTATTGCATACAATTATATATCCAATGTCTTAACTAATAGGTTTGTTAAGTTAATAATTAACCTAAGTGTTAATCCTCTTTTTTGGAATCGACATGTGTCCCAGGTCAATACTAATTAATCAAATCAGTCAGGCCCCAGCCAAGACGACTCGGATAATGTGAGCACTTGTCTCTTTCCAAGTAAGGCCGAGTCTAGACAAGTTATCACTCGACCTCATTATTTGAGTCGATCCCCCTCGTTCACTCAAAGCTGGGTCGACAACTTGCGAGGCTGGCAAGAAAAGAGAAACTTGTTGCCCAGTTCGCTAAGCCGAGTCGAGAGGCGGTTTGTCCTTGAACTCCTCGCCAACAGCTATCCATTATCATCATTGCTCGTGCCATGAGTCCTCATGACTCATTACCCTCCATACCTCTTCAATCGCCATGACATCAGATCAGTGTTGACTCATTGTATCTGCAGTCGACACTTGTAATGCTATCTGCCGATTCAACTGCCTGCCTAGACTTGGCCAGAGTTACGTTTCTACCCCCTCTCAGTTCGGTGTGTAATATAGGCTTATCGCCTACTGAGGAGAGGATCCTCTGGGGGCCCTCTTGGGACTACAGGTCGTTTCTGGCTAACTTCCTCTACACATTGAGAACTTGTTCGGTTGATTTGGTTCCCCACTCAAGCTCTATATTGGCTTGACCATCGGAGGAATCACCGGAGAACTCAACTCTGATTTCTAATGTGCTTATTTTGTAGCTCTCTTATCTCGAACACCAGATGAGCCATCTAAGGAGATGAGGGGACCCACATCATCTATATCTACTCTAAGCCCCATCGCTAACATGGAATTATCCTCTAATCTCGCTGCCGAGTCCTAGGACATTAACAAGCTTAAAGCATGTTATTGGTTCATTAATCAGTTATGCTCAAGGGGCTTTCCTTCAAGGCAAGAGTATATCCCAAAACATTCTTATGACTCGGGATTGATGCACAACTATGGAAGAAAGCAAATCAGTCCTAGATGTGTACTAAAAGTTGATTTAAGAAAAGCTTACGATACATTAAACTGGGATTTCTTGAATCAGCTCTTACAAGGTCTTGGCTTTCCAAATAGATTTAGGAAATGGGTTATGGAATGTGTCCAAACAGTGGCTTTTTCTATTTGTATCAATAAACAAATAAGTCCTATAATCAAAGGTGTTGAGGTCTGATATTAAACAATCAAATGAAATGAGTGTTAACAGAGGTCCTCTAACCCTCTGAACGTCTGGTTCTGAAGTAAGCTATTCTTCCCTGCACAAATAGCAAATCGTAAGAGGGCGGGGTTGGGTTCCCCGATTATTTCTTCGACGATCAAGTCAGTGATTTGTTTGAGTGGAGAAGTAAAATAAACTACCATAGTTCTAAAGCACGGTGAATAGATGTAAATATCTCACCTTATTATTGAAAATAGTATCCCTATTTATAGTGGAGGTAAAAGGGTAAAATGGTAACTTCGGCTGAGTATGGGATGGCGGCCACGTCAGCCTCTGTTTTACAGGTGTCGGCCGATGAGTGGAGGAGATGTCATTTTGATTTTTAATGCAAAGTGATTGGGGGTGTGCAGTGCTGACGTGGTCCAACGTGTCATAAAGATTATTTGGAGTAGAGGAATGATGTCGCCCATAATACATTTAATGGCATTTACTGCGAGGTGAGCGGTTGCCAGTGCACGGGAGAGGGCTCAAGGCTCGAGGCATTTCGTCGCTTTTCTACTCATCCGGTGGTCGAAAAGTATCGCCCTTTAAGTCGCCTTCGCAAAGTGTCGGACGATTAGTCGGTCGAGTGGAGTAATTAAGCAGTCGACTTAGCCAGGGATTGACACGTAACGCCTTTGGAGATATCAGAGTTGACCGAATTGGGCCTTACGTGATCTTGAAGCGCTGACTCGATTATGTATAATGTGGGACACTTGTTCGCCATTGATTGGAGATTATCTTTCATCACTAAAATGACTATAACAAAAGGAGCTAGAGGCTTGAGACAAGATGATCACATTTCACCTTACTTGTTCGTGCTAGCCATGGGATACCTTAGTAGGGGATTGATTGATCTCGAATATACTAGGGGCTTCTCCTTTCATCCAAAGTGCAACGCTAAATAGATCACACATCTCTGTTTTTGTTTTGCTGATGATCTCATGCTCTTTTGTAGAGGGGGTCTTAATTCTGTCAAAGCAATATGGGACAGATTTAGTTATTTCTCACATGCCTCTAGTTTATCTGCTAATGAATCCAAGAGCCAATTGTCTTTTGGAGGAGTAGACTTCAATGTCCGACAGGAGATACTCAATGTGCTGCATTTTGTTGAAGGTGAACTACCAGTGAGACCCCTTGAAATTCATCTCACTTCAAAAACTTTGTCCTCTCAAGACTGTGCAACACTTATTGAGAGAATGACCGCGAAAGTTAACAGCTGAACATCCAAAATGCTATCTTTTGCCAGTAGACTACAGTTGATTAGGTCTGTTCTATATAGAATGCAGAATTTTTGGTGTAGTATCTTCATTCTGCCCAAAAAGTCATCAAGAATGTCGAGCAAATCTGCAGAGATTATCTAGGGTCAGGTGTGTTATATAATCACATAAAAGCTAAGGTGTCTTGGACTAAAGTCTGCTCTCCTAAATGCTCTGGTGGATTGGGTTTATACTCTATGGGATTGCTTAATAATGCACTCATGTTAAAGCATATTTGGGCGATCACTCTGAAGTGTAATACTATGTGGGTAAGGTGGATTCATGGCTTTTACCTCAAAAGAAATGAATTCTGGTCCATTCAACCTAACCCTCACTTCTCATGGCAGTTTAGAAATTGCTCAAATTAAGAGATGAAGCTTTAAAATGTATTGATACTGATGATTCAAGGTGCAGATGAAAGGGGGACAAGCCAACTTTTAGTGCCTCAAGTGCATTACAAACTTCTTGATACAACGGGTGATAAAAAGAAATGGACTAGATTGGTATGGTCCCCTTATACAATTCCCAAGCATGCATTTATACTTTAGATCGCATGTTTAGACAGGCCGCCTACAAAATACAAAATAAAGAGGTTTGGTATTGTTGATGAGGACACGTGTCCACTTTGCTGTGATCAAATTGAAACCAAGAGCCACCTCTTTTTTGAGTGTGCTTACGGCTTACAAGTTTGGAAAACTGCCATGAGATTCATTCAATTACCAGATGCCCCTTGTAGATGGAATGATATCATTGAATGGATGGAGAGGTTACGAGAGGAAAATCTGTAGTTCAGGGCATTTGCAGCTTGCATATATCATTTGTGGATATCCAGAAATGAAAATATTTTTCAGCATAAGTTCATCTCAATGGAGCAATGCTTGCAAGAGATTGACCCTGAATTTTTACCTAGAAGAAGATGATCTTGGCAATGAGATTTTCTTTTGATTTGTGAGAGTTACCATTGATGTTAGTATTGGAGAGAGACTTTCTTTTAGTTAGTTTGAGTGTGAATAAGATCAATTACTCACCCGGGGGTAAATAAAAAAAAAAAAACTTTTGCAGTCCCGTGCGCCTCATTGCATTTGTTTATAGCTGTGCCAGCTAAAGGGTCGGCCGTGATTAATCTATCTTAGTCAACCGCACCTCTCGGATTAATTAATCCATCCCTTTTGCTGTCTCCTTTTCAAACAAATGAAAAACTGATCAGAAACCAGCTATCTGAACTCTCACCGCAATCCTCATCAAGCTGGTCTCCATTGGGGCCGGCGAAGAGGAAGATAAATGTCACTGCAGGGAGAAATCAAGGCCCTCGTCAAGGTAACAGCATGGGTCATCATATCAATGACCTACGCTCGCCATGCATCTTCAAGAATAAGATCGGGAAAGCCCCGGCTTCTCTCTCTCCTCCCGATCATCCTCCTCCTCCTGCATCTCCCTTGGTCCTTCGCCTCCGTCAATCTCCGCGGCGGCTTCGCCTTCTTGCTCGCCTGGCTCGCTGTATTCAAGCTCCTCCTCCTCTCCTTCGGCGTGGGCTCCCTCTCCCCCTCCCTCCCCCTCCCCACCTTCATCGCCACCTCATCACTCCCCGTCAAGCTAGCACTCAGCCGTTCCGAATCCCCATCCTCCTCCATACTTGCCACTTCTTGCATCAAAACCCTCTTGCTTGCTCTCCTTTTCCCTCTTTACAGCTATAAATCTGCAATCAATTCATACCTACTGCTAGTTATCTATTCATTACACATTTACCTCATCCTGGAGATCGCACTATCCATTACGGGGTTCCTCGCCAGCTCGCTCGGGCTCGACATCGAGCCCCAGTTCAACGCCCCATTAAAATCCGAATCCTTACAGGATTTCTGGGGCCGACGATGGAACCTGATGGTCACCAGCATCCTGCGACCTTCCGTCTACTACCCAGTCCGATCCCGCTTCGGCACGATCGCAGGAGTCATGGCCGCGTTTCTGGTCTCTGGGCTGATGCACGAGGTCGTGTTTTATTATATGACAGTAGAGAGACCAACTGGGGAGGTGACGTTGTTCTTTGTGATTCAGGGGCTCAGTACTGTGGCGGAGGTGACGGCGAGAGGCTGGGTGGTGGAGGCCGATGCATCCGGTGGTGGGCGGTGGACGACGCTGGGGTTTGTGCTTCTGACCTCGTTTTGGCTGTTTTTTCCGCCGTTTTTGAGGGGAGAAGCGGAGGAGAACTGGTTGCAGGAGTATATGGAGGTGGCGAGGTTGGTGGAGGTGCGAGGAGAGGCTATGTTAAGGCGACTGACCGGGTAAGCTAAGAATTCGCTTGACCATGGAAATTGTAACGCGTTGTTGTGGACGCATAATTGTGATTCTTCAAAATGTAGCTCTATCAGTGTTTTCTTTTCTATTTGGTACTTCAAAAAAAATTGCACAAAACTCCATTTATTAACCAATCAAACCATTGGACTTAATTAAGACATCCGAATCCATACAAGTCCCAAGGCTAAAATCACAAACCTCACCATCTCTCCCTCTGATCACCCGTTACCCGCCCGGAAAATCGCCGACCTCCCTCTTCAAAAACCCCACCATCGCCGCGCACTCGTCGATCGTCTCGCTCTCCCGCTCCCCCCTCAACACCGGCGGAAAAAACAAGCCATAAACCCGTCGCCACACAAACCCAGCGTCACAGGCGCGCCGCCGCAGCGGAGGCCTCCACCACCAGCCCTCCTCGCCCGCACCTCCGCCACCGTGCACGCCGTGAATCAAAAAGAACAGCGTCACCTCCCCGGTGGGCCCCCCCAGCGTGACATACCAGAACATCACCTCGTGCATCAGCCCCGAGACGAGGAACACCGCCATGAACCCAGCGGCCGCGCCGTACCGGGACCGGATCGGGCGGTAGACCGACGGTCGGAGTATCCCGGTGACCATTAGATTCCAACGGCGACCCCAGAACTCCTGCAGCGAAGTGGACTTGAACGGAGCGTCGAATTGGGGCTCGAGGTCGAGGCCGAGGAGGGAGCCAGCGAGAAACGCCGCCGAGGCGAGGACGACGTCGAGAGCGAGATAGATGTGGAGGCAGTACATGGCCAGGACTAAACAGCGATTCAATCGGGGTCTGTGCTGGTAGAGGGAGATTAGAGAAGCGAGGAGGAGGGATTTGATGAAGGTGGGGATCAAGATTTGGGATCTTTTTGAAGTCGGAGGGGAATTGGGAGGGCGGAGCTTGAGGGGGAGAGATGAGATGGCGATGAAGGTGGGGAGAGGGAGGTAAGGGGAGAGGGGGCCCACGCCGAAGGAGAGGAGGAGGAGCTTGAAGACGCCGAGCCAGGCTAGGAAGAAGGCGGAGATGGTGCGGACATGGTGGAGGTGGAGGCGAGCGTGAGTGCAGGGGAGGAGAGGGAGGAGGATGGCGACGGGAGGAGGGAGAGGAGGCGGAGCTTGCGGGGGTTCGTTGAGGTGGCGGCGAGGCGGGCGTAGGTCATTGATGCTGCGAGTATACTGGCAGGGCTTGTCGTTCTGCCTCCATCGCTGTCTCCTCTCTCTCTGTGGGGGTGGAGTACTGTTGTTATTCTGGTCGGAGTCTTGAAGAAGCTTGGACTTGTCGGTAAGCTGGAAGGTGTAGGTGTAACTGTAACCTGTTTAGGGTCAATTTCATAAATTCCCCCAAAATTTTGAAGCATTTTTCATGAAACACTTGTGAACGTTTATATTCCACTAATTAACCTTGTGAACAATGAGGTGCCTCATAAGTAACCTGAACCGGCCTCTAATAATGCTAATGGATCAACTAGCTGTACGTTCAAAAAAATGATCAACACCACCCTTCTCACTATCCGGCGGTCTACTAGGAAGTTTTGAAATTTTAGAAAGATTTTGTGAGATACTCCAAAGTCTAAGGGAATTTGTTGATGCAAAGTTCAGGGGTTTTGTGCAACTTACCCACATATTTATATGCAAAGAAATGTTATTTACCGTTTTATACTTAATGTTTGTATGGTTTGCGGTAGAAAAATTGGGCATCTAAGATTTATGTGACGTTTTAATAAAGGACAATTTTTTTAAAACAACTTTTTTGAGAATTTAATGAGCAAAATCGATCCTTTTTATCTCAGCTAACATGAAGACAGTCGGTTTTGCAGGGGGACGAAGTTGTTAATTACAAGGGATTGCTAGTCCCACATAGTTATAAAGTGTGGCGAATTATTAACCCCACACCACCTCCACCTACCCACCTACCTCACTTTATTTCCTAAAAAATCTTGTCTCCCTAAAACCCTAACCTCCTTCTTGTTGGATCTGCTCACGACTACCGCCGCCTTCGACGGACTTCGCGACGAAGTTCTCAACTGTCGCTGCCTCCGACGGACTTCGCGACGAAGCTGTCAACCACTGCCGAATCTGACGGACTTCTCGACGAAGCTCTCGACCACCGCCCCCTCTGACCAAGCTCGTGACCACAACCGCCGACGACCACATCCACCAAGCTCCAATCAAGGTTAAAAAATATTCAATTTTGTTGTTAATTTTGATGAATGATATGGATTGAGTAGGGTTAAGGTTTAATTTTGATTAACAACCCCGAATGATAATGGATTGAGTAGGATTAGGGTCTAATTCACTATGCTCTAGTTTAATTTTGATATGAATGATATGGATTGACTAGAGTTTATGATTTTGGATATGAAAATTTTTAGTTTTTATTTTGTGAAATATGATGAATAATATGGTTTGGAAGTTAGGGTTTAACCATTATTTGCTTTCCCAATTAAAATTAGGGTTTTAAATTTTATTTTCAATTGAGATAAATATTTTCAGTTATAATTGATTATTTGCATATGACGGACTGTTGATTTTCAGTTTCGATTGCGAACTCTATACCCATTATTTGCTTCTTCAATGGGAGTCTCGACGTCAGAGTGAATAGTATGCCTACGTATGAAGGAGGTTCTAGGAAAATGTTTATACTATCTAAGTCATGTAATTTTGATGGAATGATGAAGGAAATACACAGAGTTACTAAAATTAATAAAGAAGAACATGCAACTAAGGTGTTCTTCAACTATCCGATGAATAAGAATAGAACAATTGCCATGGAGATCACCGACAATGAGGAGTTGAATGACATAAAACAATTAGTCGAGAAGCAAGTGTCAATTAAGTTGTTCATTAAGAAATATCTGATTCTCGAATTTGCCCAAGTTTCGCGACCTCAAGGAGAGTTCTCCCGCATGCTTGACTTAGACAATGAATCAAGTGGTTTATGACATCTATAAGTCAAGAGTCGTGGTCTCAACTACAACATTTAAGCAGGCATTCTCTTGGTAGGACGTCAAGTGCTATATTTAATGATGATTCGGGCCACATTACTAGTGACTTACCGGCCAGATCAATTGTAGAAGAAGAAGCAAATGATGACTAAGAAGATATTGAAGAAGATGGTGTGCAAATTGATAGCATGCATGTGGCTACTGGAATCGATGATGACTCCCGTTGGATGGATCAATTTTATGTTAACAATGATTATGTGGAAGCTGAAGATCTGTTGCACGGCGAGTTTCATAATGAAGATTGGATAAATACTTCTCAAACTGAATTTATTGATGTTGGTCCAAACATTCAACGATCTGAGGACTTCACTTTTAAAAAAGATGATCTATTCAAGGACAATGAGACATTAATCTTTGCAATCCGAGAATGGTCCATCAAGAATCGGGTCAAATTCAAGCCGGTAAAAACTAATGCAACAAATTACCAAGTAAAATGTTACTTTAACGAGAAGATTGAAGTAGAGCATGCAAGTGAGTAGGATGAGAGAAACACGAAATGTCCTTGGTTGCTAAATGCAGCTGTGAGAAAATCATCAAATGGGTAATTTGTAATATCTAGATATTGGGACTTCATACATGTTGCAATCCGTCGGTGGATGTCGATCATTACTCTGCATCTTCCTCTTATATATATAAGCTAATTATGCCTAAAGTAAGGGTTGAACTTGATCTAAATGCAGTTCAGATATTTCAAAGGGTATATGACATGCGGGGCATTAAGATATCTAAATATAAGGTATATGATGCAAGGAGGAAAGTGTTGTCTAAAATATTTGGAGATTAGAAAAAATCTTATGAATTACTTCCACAATATCTTGAAGCTATCAAGCGAAATAATCCGGGTACTAAATATGAAATAATATCTGAAGAGATCATACTAGGGATGGAGAGGTTCACTCGAGTATTTTAGGCATTTGGTCCTGCTATTAAAGGTTTCACTTTTTGTCATACGGGGATGGAGGGCACATGATCGGTTCGATATTATTTCCAGATTCGAGTAAAGATAAAGCGTATGCGAGGTATGCGTATTTGTATTTTGAATCTGTATTTCATTGAATTAGCTTCTTTTAATAAATTGAAATATTGTGAATATACTAGGTGGTTACCACTCCTCGAGGACTTGGACGCATGCGGTGCGTTATTGTGGAGTAGTGTCGTTTTGGCGTACCTATATAGAGAGATGTCCAATGTGGCATTCATGCACAACTGTGACTTCAAATGGTGACTAACCTTACTGCAAGTATGGGCATTGGAGAGACTTCATTTGAAGCCGAGACTATGCGTGCATATACAATTAGATGGAAAAATTCCACTGGGATGCAGGTATCCATTTTTTAATGTAGCAAATATAATTGTAGTTATTGTTGTTCATACAAAATTTTGAAAACAACACAGATGAAATTTCCAAAAATGTTACGACGAGACCTCGGTTAGACAATTAGATTTTTACCGAAATGAGCTTGACCGTATGAAGGTTCTTCAGGTATCGTTTCTATAAAAATGACTTTTTTCTTTTATATGTGTTGATGCTCGTAAACAAATAGTCGATGAGGGTTTCCCGCAGTCGGATGCAGCTTCGATCCTGGCGACGGTGGGGAAGAAGGAGAGGATGAATGTTTGGACCGGCTCCTCCTCCGACTTTATACCCGATTCTGAGCGCACGGGGTGGGCTGATAGCCTGCACATGCAAGAATCGCAGGAATATGGGGCTAGTTTTCCCCGTGGTACATTCAACGGTCAAGTCAGTTGATGAACTTATGGAGGGTTTGTTGAGAGGCCCCTGGGCTATTGAGGTCCTTGCAGGGGGTTTTTTCTCTTGGAATTATTAAAAAATAAAAGGGGAGTAAATTAAGGTGCAAGAAGAAGTAGTTAGCCCTCACCTGCCCTTACCTTCCTTACCTCCTTTTATAGCCCCTTTGCCTCTAGAAGTTTGACCCTCGGCTTTTGTTGACTATGTACAGGAGGCTGTTTGAAAGATGAACAGGCAGGCTGCTGAGTCATCTTTATTCCTCCAGGTATCGGCAGTTGATTGGGAGGGAAGTCACTCGGTGTCAGAGGAGAGAAGTCTTCTCAGTGCTCTGGGTTTATCAGAGTAGGCAGGGTGTAGGGTAGGTCGGCTGTGTGGTCGTCCTTCTTTCTCCAGGTAGCGGCTGGGAATTGGGGGAGAAGTCACTTGTGTACAGAGAAGTATCATAGTAATTCTCTGGAAAATGACTTGTGAGTGGAATAGGCGGCTTGTGCAGGAGATCCTTGTCAGAGCGTATATCTTGATGGGACTGGTCAATGCTGTAGCTTCGAGTGACATTTGAAGTGGTCCTGGTCGGATCTTATCCCTTTAGTCGAGGCGGATTAATCTGTGAGTCATCACTATAATTTGTCGACCGACAACCGAGTGAGTTTTGGGACGAGAGCGCCATCGAGACGTCCGCTCGGGGAGTCGTCTTAATTGCGGAGGACCGATTGGTCCCGCGCTTCGACTCGGTTACGACGACTCTTGGTCGAGAGAGGGCTCGCCCGCTTGACTGGTCAGTAGACTTGACCTCGGTCCGGGCTTCTGAGTTTCTTGAGCCGGTCAGGACCACGGCTTTTTGGGCCCTTATAGTCAATCTTTCGACTGTTACCATAACAATATGTCTTTTAGTTTTAATGATGTGCAAAAAATATGTGGAATATTCTGTAGATGGAATAGGAGCCCTACACTTAGTTTCTCAATCGCCTACCAGTGGTATGCACAGAATACCCAGCTACATTGAGAGCCAAAGTTCCTCTTATATGTTTAGAGATAGTAGAGACGCATGTACCGGACCGCGTGCTTCGACAATTTAGTCTTGCACAACATGTTCCGCAATTTGTTAAAAAACTAGAGAGGAAGGTAAAGAAAGGAGGCCATCAAAAGGACTGGGCAGCTGAGCAGATAGAATGATAGACATTTTTGCATTATTGAGCAAATTTAGCCAACTCCCCGAGAATCGGATTACTACACTTGGTATTGGGGGATATCCCGAAGATGGATAATCCATACGATCACAGCACCGGTTGAGTTGCAAAAAGGATACGTGCCCCGGGGTATAGATGAGAGAGAATTAGTAAGTATTTTTAGATTTTGATTTAAGATCCATTTGTATTGGTATTCCTTAATATTGCTAACATGTATTTTTTAGAATAATTGCAGGTAGCAGCAATAGATGATGTTCAAACCATTAAAAATCATGACATAGAATTTGCTCGAGCAGGTATATAGAATTAAATTTCAAATTTAGATTTCTATAATTTGAATTTTAAAGTAATTTTCCTATTTTGGATTTTTTGAATTATCTCTCGCAGGTACATATCCCGAAGCACAGCAATAGGTGTCGATATATCAGTCGATAGTGCGAAGGCTTCACCAAGCTTTAAGCCGAACTCATGAAGATCTTAATGATGGACGAGAGGTCATGCAACAGGACAATCTCGATATCGTATACGCATGTCAACCACGACAAAGCCGAGGACGAGGCAGAAACGACGATGAAGTCGGACCTTCCCAACATGTAGACGATGAAGCTGGACTGTCACAACCACAAACGTAACGGGATAACGAACTCGTCCAAGCTCGGGATGAAGGAGGACGAAGACAGAGGAGGAGGAGAAGAGTTCTTGGATGTATGTAAACTGTTGATGCTCGTAAACAAACAGTCAGAGAAGAAGGTTTCCCTTGTCGGATGCGGCTTCGGTCCTGGCGATGGTGGGGAAGAAGGAGAGAATGAATGTAGGGGCCGACTCCTCCTCCGACTTTATGCCCGATTCTGAGCGCGCGGGGTGGACTGATAGCCTGCATATGCAAGAATCACATGAATACGGGGCTAGTTTCCCCCGTGGTACCTCCGACGGCCAAGTCAGTTGATGAACTTGGGGAGGGTTTGTTTAGAGGCCCCTGGGTCATTGAGGTCCTTACAGGGGGTTTAGCTGTTGGAAAATGTTAAAAATCCCAAAAAGGGAGTAAAGCTTAGATGCAAGAAGAAGCTGTCAACCAACCTCCTTGCCTTACCTTTCTTACCTCCCTTTATAGCCCACTGGCCTCTGGGAGTTTGACCCTTGGCTTTTGTTGACTATGCACAGGAGGGGGTTTGAAAGGTGGACAGACAGGCTGCTGAGTTATTTTTCTTCCTCCAGGTGTCGGCAGACGACTGGGAGGGAAGTCATTCGGTGTCAAGGGAGAGAAGTCTTCTCAGTTCTTTGGGTTTGTCAGAGTAGGTAGGGTGTAGGGTAGGTCGGTTGTGTGGCCGTCCTTCTTTCTCCAGGTGGCGGCTGGGAATTGGAGAAGAAGTCATTCATTGCGCAGAGAAGCATTATGGCGATCTTCTGGGAAATGACTTGTAAATCGAATAAGCGGCTCGTGCCAGAGATTCTTGTCAGAGCGTATATCTTGATGGGACTGGTCAATGTTGTAGCTTCGAGTGACACTTGAAGTGATCCTGGTCGGATCTTATCCCTTTAGTCGATGCGGGTTGATCCGTGAGCCATCGTTATGATTTGGCGATCTGATAGTCGAGTGGACTTCGGGTCGGGCGTGTAATCGAGTCGTCTGCTCAAGGAGTCATCTTAATTGCGAGGGAACGACTGATCTCGTTCTTCGAGTCGGTCATGATGACCTGTCGGTCGGAATAAGGCTTGTCTGCTCGTCTAGTCGAGGGACTTGGCTCTGACTGTGCTTTTGAGCCTCTAAAGTTGATTCGGACCATAGCTTGCTTGGGCTTATGCAGGTATTCTTCCGATACTCCTTTTTTGGTGTGGTGAATGACCATAACAGTTTAATCATTATTGTTATATACATTACAAACCTATTTTGGTATGTTATTTGTGTGGTGTGATGAGAATGAGTAAATTATGTCTTTATATCGATGTGAGATGGTTTTTGGATTTGTAAATGAGTTTGTGGTCTGATTTGTGGTGGGAATTTGTTAGAGTTATTACGATATGTATCGATACGATTTGCTTTTTTGATTTGTACAGGAAATACACAAAATGGATATAGTTGTAAACTTGTAATGTTTTTACAGGAAATTAACATGGACGTTGCACAAAAAACGTGCACAATGTAGTGCACAGGAAATGCACGGATCTAGTAGTCCCGTGCATTTTGATTTTGTGCCTAGGAAATGGACGGGGCTAGCAGTTCCGCTCATTTCCTAGAGTCTCTTCTTAAAACTCGAAACTGTTAGTCCCGAGTTTTAAGCAAAGGCTTGGTCCCTTTCCCATGAAATGGACGGGACTACTAGTCCCGTCCATTTGGTTGGCGTGGCTAATCGTGGATTAGCATGCCTTAACTACACGGGACTAGTAGTCCCGTATAGTTAAAAAACATCCACAACAAAATCGACCGTCTTCATCGTAGCTGGGATAAAAAATGTCGATTTTGCTCATTTTTATGGAAGAAGGTCAATTTTGCTCATTAAATTCTCAAAAAAATTATTTTTAAAAATTTGTCCTTCAATAAATATCAATTGTTGGGCAATTTAGTAAATATTGATGATGGGTATGTTACATGTAGCCAAAAAATTATTTATAAGAAAAATAGAGAAATTACAAGTGGGTTAAATTGCCCGCTACACGTTACCATAGTTTTGTATGTTACATGTAGCCAAAAAATTATTTATAAGAAAAATAGAGAAATTACAAGTGGGTTAAATTGCCCGCTACACGTTACCATAGTTTTTTTTCCCGCTATGGCTTCATTAGACAAGTAAGAAAAATAGCACGTGCAGCCTGTGATTCTAAGATGAATCTTATGTTGCAACTTACTGTAGGGGCCGTGCTTTGATTCTAGCTGGTGTTGCCGAGTCCTAAGATGAATCTTATGTTGCAACTTACTGTAGGGGCCGTGCTTTGATTCTAGCTGGTGTTGCCGAGTCCTAAATTTCATCTTTGAGGAGCGGAGAATCGAGATACTTGAGTGCGTTCTTATTTATTTTATCAAAAATAAATAAGATTTCGAATCAAATCAGTATGTTTGCCCATTCAGACAAAAAGTCAAGGAGACATATAAAACAACTAAAAAGTGCAGTGTATAAGTAACCACTTATGAGAGAGGTGTTCAGTAATACCCTTACCTGTTTGGCTATTTCCAAAAAAAAAAAGAAATGGAAAACCCTCTTTGGAAATGATTTCAACACATATCAAGAGGTTTCCAGTTTTCTTTTATTTTATTTGTTTCGCAAAGAAACCTCCCCTTTTCATTGCTAAGTCACACAAAAAACAAAAAAAACCTCTATAGTAACAGTGTTTTTGATTTCCATTTCTTTAGTTTGTTTGACAAGAAGAGAAAGGAAGAGAGAAATGACACATTAAAAAATGAATTTATTCATCATGGTACTCTCCAATAGTGCTTCTATTAATTAAAAACTCATTGATGTGACATTTCCAAGTGTTTTCACAGCTTTTTGTTGTGAAAACACATTTCTTGAAATGTGACATGGAATCCTAGGTGGCATCCCCATTTCCTTAAATAAAAAAATAAAACAAACATGTGAAATGGAAATGTGTTGAAACCAAAAACTGATGTGGATGGGGGGGATTTCCTCAAAGGTGACATGACGGTAAGTTTTCTTCTTTTTTTTGGCAAACAAACTTGAATTAGACCAAACAAAAAAATGCATGTTTTGCGTATATATGAAATTACAAAGAAATGACAATAACATGAAATATCTACCAACATTTCATTTAAGTCATGGCAGCAAAAGTATTTTACATGAAAATATTCTTAATTGAAAACAAATTTAGATAAAATTAGGTGGAGAGTGCTTACCTTTTTCGATCAATTTTGATTGCTATCCGATCTTTAGGAGATGATGAAAGTAAAATTGTTGAAGTTGGTGCAAATAAATATGAAAATTCTTGGCAAATCAATAAGGACATGACTGTGGATGTAGATGCTGGCAATTGGAAAGATGCTCACAAGATTGAGAGGTTCAATTAGACAAGAAGTTCTGTTTTTTATACAAATCAGAGGGAAATTTTCAATTACTGGCCAATGACAAATTACTTTTTACTACAAATAATTAATTAGCTCAATTATTTTTAGAGGATTATTTAATGAGGACAACCAATTACTATATATAGAAATATAAAACTCATAATTACAATTACTATATATGTATACCCACGCGCTAATTCCAAAAGTCCTGGGGGCCAAAGACCCCACCAAACATGTAATTGAGCTCTGCCGACTGCCCAGCCCATGCAACCACCCTTCTTTTTTAAATGTTAATTTCAGAAAAACCCCCAACTTCAAGGGATTTTTCATATAATTTAATTTTAGCTTTTTTTTCATCCCTCGTGACCCCTGAAATTCGATGTGTCTAAACAATACCCAATTTTCAGTTTTTCTCATTACTCAATTTTCAGTTTTTCTCATTACTCAATTTTCAGTTTTTCTCATGCTAATCCTCTAGCCTGTAATTTTCAAATTAATAAAATTTTCTTGAAAGAGGAAAAAAAAAGTTTAAGCATTACGGGAGAGTATGCGTTGCATAAATAATAAAGAAAATTTTGAATTTTTTTTTCTCACAACAACTCACTTATTTGGAATTTATAGACCCAACCAGTTAATTAGCTACTAATTAATACCAACATCACAAACACTTAATTTGCTTGTTCAGACAATCGGATTTTTAAAACATTAACTCATTATTTTAATCTCACTATACTACTTTTCACACCGTAAGAAACATTGGTGAAATGTAGTGATTTACTTGGAAATAATATTACTATGAAGCAAAAAAAAAAAAACAAATAAAATGCCTCGAGCCAACTTTATCATACAAATCCATTTTCTTTACTTCTTCTTGAGGGAGAAAAAACTGGGAATAAAAAAGGAGCAAATAAAGTCAACCAGCTTCACTCAACCAGCCTCTTCAGCAAAGCCCGGACGCCCTCCTCCGCCAACGCCAGCATCTCCACGACCTCCCCCAACCCCTGCTCATCCACTCGCGCCCTCA